CAAAGGTAAACAAAGGTAAAACAACCTGAACAGGTGATCAACTCTAAACCACTGGCACCTTTTTATTCTCCGTTTCTCTTTGTCGTTTGAGCACACCCGTTGTCATGGCAACCTCCTGCGCTCCACAAGCCGGCCAGAGAATTACGTTAAAAACATTCAGTCTGTCACGATATCAGGTTTTCAGATTTGATATTTATTTTGCGATCATTAATAAGCCTCTCATGAACACAGCGGTGGTTGATTAGTTCATTTTAAACTCCTGCTCTGCTAGTTATTTGGGAATGGAACCGAAACGCACAGAATTGCGCAACACCTTGTTGAAACAATAATTACTGAGATTATTATTGTTGTTGGGTCATTAATTTGAGCACGTTTTGTTGACTTTTTGTTGTTGTTTAATAAAGTTCTGAACGTTTTGATAAGCCAATCAGAGGAGGACCTGGTCTCAGCCTCCTGGCGGCGTTCAGTTTGTCACCTAATGCTGAGATCGACTCAAAACCTTCCGCGATCGACATGTTGCACCGCTGCTCTAGCAAAGAACAGTTCAGAAGCAATATGAAAGGGGAAAAAGTTATTTATTAACTGTTTTAGATTGTTCTTGGAAAAACTAATCAGTCACGGCTGCTCAGTGAATCCGTTGATTTTTTACAGCAGACAGCCGCTCCCCTCTCTTGCAGGTACTGCGTACCCCCACTAAATCTTTTAGGGGTACGCAGTACCTGACCATACCCCCTTACTTTCACCCCTGAGCATAATTAAATACTGTACATTGAAACCAAAGAAAAAACCTGTTTTCAGGTCAGCGGATGTGCGTGTGCATCAATCGGGCCTTAATGTGATCTGGAGTCTCCTCCAACCTGCCCCGAGAGATTCACAGCTGTATCTACGGCAGAGAGATGGATCTCGTCAACCGAGCCTCCGGTCGGTTTCTGCTGCCTCTGGCCACAGATTTTTCCAGCAGGCATTCAAAGTTTTCAGCTTTCAGCTAGCCTGAATGACTAACGGTTATTGGCACGTTACGGTGCCAATAACCGTAACGTTATTGGCACACATTTAGCGAAGGAGCTCGGAGACTGTTTAGCCATTCAGGACGCAGAACACAATGCACTGTGACAAAAACTGCACAAAAAATTCCGCGAAGTAGCGAGACCGCGAAAGGTGAACCGCGTTATAGCGAGGGATCACTGTACATCTATACAGACCTCTGCATTATTTGTATGGAGGAATACTTTTTAAAAAATCTGTACAAATACTTAACTCTCCACTGCAAATAGTCAACACGACAGACAAAGGCTGAAGAGATAAGTACTTTTTTATTATTATTGTAAGAAAATAATGTCCACAGCCTCACCAACAAATTGCTTCAGAAAAAAAGTAACTGTCAGTACTTCAGCAACAGGCAACTGGAGTTGGGTTCAATTTGGGCCTTCTTACATTAAAACATAATTTCAATCTCATAGCAAAACAACAGTAAGGTTCAAACTTTACATTACCGTGCTTCCAAAAATGAAGAAAAAAAAAAAAAAAAAAAAAAAAAATTGGATTACATCAAATTATATGGAAAATGGCAGCTTTAATTCTCAGGGAATTTTAGTTGCCTTTTGCTTAGTAATGCTAAATGGGAACTTTATAATTTTCAATAACAAATAACTCTTGATTGGTTAAAATTATTTTAGATGATGAAAAAAATGAATTGTCTACATACAGTTGTAGCATGTTGTTATTTAGGACAACTGGAGCACATAAAGTGTTCTCACAAATTTTAAAACTCAACTACTTTAAAAAAAATAATACCAGTATACTAGTGATTCCACAGTAACACTGTCCAAATAAAGAGGATAAACACAATCTAGACTCTCGCATTACTTGGGAAAACCTGCTGAAGCAAAAGGACAATTGATTTGTTTCTTTATTCTTTGAAAGGTGATGGAGGTATGGAGATGTGTAGAAGAGGACAGTAAACTTTTAAATTTGATTGTTTAACATAATCCTTGAGAGAAAGAAGATGCCTGAGGAATGAAGAGGTGCACAAGTACTGACTTCCAAGAACCAGGGTGTTGTGCAGAGCGCAAGGATGTGAAAGACTTAGGATGAAAAAGAACCCGTCACAACCAACGGGACAAAACGAGACTCCAGGAAGTGGCAGAAATTACAAAACCGAAGGATTGACAAAAAATACAAGAAAACATTACTTTTGAATTTTGAAGCCTGCTTTGCTAAGCAAACAAATATGCTTTGTACATTTCAGGCAAGATTTCTATATTTCTTCAGCTGCATTCCCAACCAGCTCACATCACCTGCATTTGAACAGCTTGTTACACAACTGAGATCATGTGTGTCTGTAATTTATTTGACCGATTTCTCATGAAAATGGTAAAAAAAAAAAAAAAAATCAAACATGGCTGTATGTGATTAAAACTTTGATGTAAAATGCTAGCGTGTGAACACTCATCACAGCCAGAACTGAAAGTGAACCCTGCTCCGGTGTGATGTTGTGTTTTTAATAAAGCTGTTGTAGAAGAGTCCCTTGAGCAAACACCCACTCAGAGAGCTCAAACCCACAGAGTGAAGTGCACCCTATTAGGATGAGCCAATATGTTCCTCACTAACTGCTCAAAAAGAAAAGGATAAAGAAAAAAAACAATCATATAGCAGCAGAGCTATCAGAGGCCCATAGGTGCATATCCATTCAGAGAATTCACACCAGTGGCTAGATGCATGAATGACCCTTAACCCTCTGTTCCCCTTCGCTCCTTCACAGCTGAATGCAGGATTTTTTTATTATTATTATTTTTTTAATAAAGCAGCCTTAAAGCACCATGGGTACCACAGGCCCTCAGGTAAACAGCTAATGAAATCCCTCTCTCCCTCACAGACTAAATCATCCAAATAGCAACCAGCACCTCCGGCACAGAGGCAGACGGATGGCAGGGAACCAGGAAGAGAAGAGAGAAGGGAGGGAAAGAGAGAGAGAGAGAGAAATGGTAAGAGAGGGACGAGTAAGAAGTGAAATACTGTACAGAGAATGACTTCAGGATACAGAAAGATAAATAAGACTATACAAAACTGCACAATGGAACTGGAAATTGTACACATCTGAGCATCTTGAGTGCAATAAATCACTACATTAACAAACTTGGCCCTTGAGACAGCAGCAAGCGCCTGACAGCTGTTATAAATCCAGCTTTGAGGTGAAGAAGAGCTCCTTCCACTTGATGCTGTTATCTACAGCTTAACTGCAGGAACCACTCTGTATTCTCACAAGTAAGTAAGCCCGTTAAATAACAAGGGAAATGTCACTTCAGATTCGTCATGACTGTTCAGGCTTATTTCCTGTTCTAATTTTGGTGAAATAAGATTTTTATTACTCACCACTGTTCGTGCCAAACACTGTACTCAAAAACAAGGTGTTATTAGGCTCATGAAGCATTGGCGACTTACCCCAGCTAAAGATTGCAACACGGAAAGTATTTAGACATCTTAAAAATTTCAACATTGTGTTATATTGTTAAAATGTAACATGTTACATTTCAACACTTAAATGTTGAAATGTAACATTCAACATTTCAGTCCTTCCCTGCAGAGGGATTATACGATTGGGATTAAACATGAAACACCATGTTGAATCCCACAGTGTTTAGTGGGAACACCATGAGA